GGAGGAAGGGGAAAAATGAGGACCTGATGCCAGGGGCTTAAGTGGAGAGGAAATATTTTGAGAGTGATGAGGGCAATGAATGTACAAATACGCTTTACACAATTGATGTGTGTGTGGATTGTGATAAGAGTTGTATGAGCCCCTAATAAAATTATTTTTTTTAAAAAGAAAGAAAACATAAAATATTTTAAAATTATATCATTTAAAAAATATAAACTATTTAAAAATTTAGTATGAAATATAGTAAGTGTTCAGTGAGTATCACTTATTATCATAAATGTTGATAGGTTTAGACTTTAGGCATTTTGTGTAGTCATCTTGCTTCTTGAGAAAGCATTCAAACTTTCGTGACCATTAGCTCTGCCAGGCCCTCTGCTAAGTGCTCTAATTACTGCATGGGATCCTCCACCACCTGCCCTTGTTCCTGGACACAGGCGGGAACCAGGCCTCGCAGAGGTTCAGGAGCCTGACGGCATCGCAAAACGAGTGAGATGAAGGTGGACTCTAACCCAGGCTTCCTCTTGATGCACGCGACTCACTGCCATCCGGTCCGTTTCACCTCAGAGTGCCTCGGCAGTACAGGGTTTGTCATTTTACTATGAGCCCGTACAGATATTATATTCATAATTCAACGAGATCAAGCGTAATTGTACAATTGCTGCCACAATCATTTTCAAAACATTTTTTCTTCGTCTTGACCTCTGATACTGGTTTCCCTTTCCCTAGCTCTTTACAGGAGTAGAAAGCTCCGTCTTTTTTCTGCAGAGTGGTCGGTGGTTTTGAAGTACTGACCTTGACGTTATATAAATGTAGCCAAGGTCCTCAGAAATGCAAGGCCTCCAAAGCTCTGGGCCTTCTTCTGTAATATGACACCTCAGAGTTGTGCACTTAAGTCACTGAAACCTCAGCACACAGGACAAGGAGGCACACTTTTAGCTAATGCTTTGTTATATATAAAATAGTTAGGTTCAACCTATTTTAACCTTGCAGTCTTCCAGTAGGTCCAGGATTACCTAAAAACTTTATCTCTGCTAGTATTTCAGTACTGTAGCCAGCACTTTAAAGTAAGCATTTTCCCTTTAAAATGGATAGTTATCGTATGAAGGTCTGTGCGCTTCAGACATGTCCTTGCTTGATGAAGAGGAGGTATGGTGGCACCTCCTGCAGTC